ATCACTCTCATATTTAATATTTTGTCTTAAAATAACTCTCTATTTTATTTTGCTTTTTAAAATTAAAACACAGCTTTATATGACAGGCAGCAGGTATGAGAGAGAGAGAGAGAGAGAGAGAGAGAGAGAGAGAGAGAGAGAGAGAGAAATAGTGACACCGGCAAGGAGTGGCTTTAACAACAGAAGCTCATTTCTTCCCTTTTTGAGGCAAAGAATGTGGCAACAGCTACGGCATTGCTGTTACTTGCATGCCAGCTAGAGCCCAGAACAGTATTACATGCCATCAATTTCAATAATTCCTGTGTGTTTTTGAGGAAATACACACATATGCACACACACATGCAGTCGTACTTTAAATAAATTCTATAATGAGCCACCTGTTCGTTAAATACGATTACACAAATGTGATTTAAGATGCTTACTGAGTTTTCCCTTCAATTCCCTCTTCATAGACAGATCGGAAGACACCTGTGGATTCCAGGCCATGTTGTGACCCCTTTCTGGCTTCTTTCCAAACTAAAAATCAGTGCCATAATTGCCAGCCTGGGTTCAAGCCTTTCTTACCTCCTGAATAAGTTACCAACCAGTGAAACAGTACACGAAAGCACCTGCAAATCATATAACTTGGTCAATCACTTCAAAACCTCTCTCTGGCTTTTTGCAGGCTGGGCTTCACGCTGCCTGACGCAGCATGCTGGTTGTGTTCAGCCATTATGCAATGATGTTCTGTGTTGCCAGTAAACCGTGGCTTTATGCCACCGTTCAGTATAGCAGCTCCATTTAGCTTCATTTATTGGATTTTTAAATCCTCTTGTACAGTAGGTGTTGATCTTTCCTGAAGTTGTGATTACAGCTCTAACTATTGACACTTCGATCACAGCCAATCCCTCTCTTCTCTGCCCTCATTCTGACATGAAATGGTAGATCTTCCAATTCTGTAGTCTCTGAGCCCTTCACTACCACCACCCACCTACACACACACACACACACATTGGCACATGAACATAACAGGGAGTACGCGTATCCTGATTAGTTCATTTCCTTAGCAACTTGGAATCCTCAAATTGCCTTCCCTTACTCTATTGCTTCTTAAAGGAGTCAGGGGGACTGCAGGGGTAAGTCTGACCTGACACATTGAAAGGGCTCTATGACCCACTTGTGTCTAAAAAGCTGCCTCTTTCCCATCCAAAAATTTGACTTCTGCCATTACTCACCTGGAATACATTCTATCAGTGTTCGTTTTTGAAATAAATGAGTGTGAGCTCTTATTTTAGAAGAGATTCTAACCTTCTGTTTGTTGTCTAATCTCCAAACTTTGCAAGTTCCAGTTTTGTTATAATGGGAAAGAACCAACATCGAAAATCAAAACACTCAAGTTTGAATATCAGCTGAGCCATTAATTAATTTTGTGATGAGTAATTCAACATTCTGAGCCTCAGCTACCTTGTCTATAAAATGAGAAGATCGCAACTTTCCTTATAGCCTTAGTGTGAGGCTTAAATGAGAAAGTATGTGTGGAAGTATCTGACACACAGGAGATTATCAGTTAGTTTTCATTTCATTTCCTGTTTTGCCCTTTGCTGGCTCGGGTTCACCAGACCAATTGTTGCCCATGAAAGACAAGACAATCATTCTGTCATATTTCTTCACCCTAGCGTAGGTCAGATTAAGGAGTTTGATCTTATCATTCTGCTAGTCTGACTTGTGTTACCCTTGCTGGCCTTGTCTTGGTGCTGAAATTCTTCTATTATATACTCCTTTTAGTGCAAGCAATGATAACAGTGATCTAGTAAGTCTTGATGAGTTTTTAATCTCTTACTCGGTTGATAAGTAACTTTCAGTTCTAAAATATATTTACACCGGCTTTAATATTAATATATACGTTCCAAGCAAGTCCAGCATAGTTGTAGAACATTTCTATAGAATTCTTAACAGAAAAAATATATAAATCTTGTATATATGCACTGTATAGTTTTGGTAAAGGAAAATCTACACAATGTAACATAATTTCAAGAAGAAAATATCCAGACTGTGGATGGGAGATGAGGTAGCTTTATTCCCTTTTGAGAATTAAGTAGATAATTGTCTCTTGATTTGAAAGGACCAACTCAGTGGAGGACAGTTCATATACTGATTATACAAAGGCCTAAATTTGCTGTCTCTTTCTTCTTATTTCTGAAATGTGGGAAAGAGGAACAAGGAACTATTGAGAGAGAGAGAGAAAGAAGGGGAGGAGAGAATCTATGAGAAATTGCTTAAGAGATTGTCAAAGTCTCTTGCTGTGACTTTACTACACACCAAAGCCAAAGTCTTATGAAGAGTATTTGATAGGATATTAATGTTTATTATATAAGGGATGAGAGAAGTGTATGGGAGAGTAAGGTAGAATACTCAGTGTTTGAATGGTGAAAAGTCTAAGAAATTATGAGATCAAATTAAAAAGCATCTCTATTATATAACTTCTAAAAATCTTTAATATGCTATTATGTGTTGTAAAACAGCAAGAAGTCAATTGTGTGTGCCAATTTTACAAATTTCATTATTCTCATGTTTTTCAGAAAGCATATCAAAGAATTAAGATTCAGCAAAATACTTTCAGCCTTGAAAGACTCTGCTATAATGTGAAGGTCCCATCAATGGCCACTAAGAAAAGGATTTTTGAGTTGAAACTAGCTTAAATTCTTGCATGCTATATGATTTGGGATATCTTTTCTCCAAGACAGAAGCCAATGTGAGCTCTTAAACAAAAGGAATCCAAAGTATCAAAGTCTAGGGTTCAGAGTTAGAGTATTTGGTGCTTGCTACAAATTTAGTGATTGGAGGGGCCCAACAAAAAGAGCCATGGTTAAAGAACTAGAGCAGAATTCAGAAAAACAGCTTGTGGGCAAGGACCTGCTCCTACCAGCCATGCAAATGTAAACTCAAGCAAGTCAATTAATGACTCTATGCCTTAATTCCCTTATCTATAAAATGAAAAGATTGAAGTTTCTAGCATCTAGATGAAGGCTAAGCACCCTTTCAGTTATATCATTCAAAGAATTGTATATCTCAGAAGCATGTCAGAAACAATCCCGTTAATGAATCCCTGTTGATATCCCAGAAAGGTGAACATCGGGCTCTATTTGAAATGTACAAGGAACTCACCTCCTTGCAAGAAAGCCTATTCTGCTTTGAACAGGTGTAACTGCAAGGAAATTAGACCTGTTCCTTATTTTGAATCAAATAATTATTTCTATAACTTCCATGCATTTGTCCTTATTTTACCATCTGGGGTCACAAAGAATTAGTCTGAACCTTTAAAAATTTGAAGGCAGCTATTATCTCCCATAGATGTTCTTCTCTAGGATAAATGTCTCTGGTTTCTTTAACTATTCTTCTAATGGCACAGTTTAGTTTGCCTAAATACCCTGATTATTGTCTTTTGAATAGATTATGGTTTCTCAATGTCTATATAAATTATGGTCTCCAAAACTGAGCACAATACTGGGCATGTGTTTTTTTGTGGCCAATTTAAAAAAGAAAGCAATAACCTTATTTTAATTTTTCCCAACATTATATTAATATGTGTATAATGTGAATATAAATGTATGAGCCTTTACTATATGTGCCAGGCAGTATTCAGTATGCTTAATGTTCATTAACACATTTAATTCTCACAACTAACCTGTGAGATAAGTATGTTATTATCATTGTTATAGATGAAGAAATTACAGTATAGTGTACATCAGTGCCCCTCAAACTTTATGTGCATAGAAGTCATGTGAGGTTTTTATTAAAATTCAGATTCTAATTTAGTAGGATTTCTGTGGGTCCTAAAATTCTGCGTCTGCCCAGGTGATATTGGTGTCGCTGGTCCAGGAACAATAATTAAAGAAGGAAGGGTCTATATCACATGATGAGATGATATGAAATGATATAAAAGAAAAGCCTTGAGCTGCACTAGCAAGAGGTAGCTTGAATGACATTATAGGAGGTATCAGAGAATTTATGTTTATTTAATTGGAGAATAGACTCAGCTTAGACCCTAATCTTGAAAATTTTCTTCCTACCAATAAAAACTGGCTTATAAAACCCTTTTACCACTAAAGTATAACACGATAACAATAACTAACATTTATTAAGCACTTGCCATATGTCAGGTCTGGTTCTAAGAAACTTAAACATCTTCTATCATTTCATGCTTCCCACAGTCTTATGAGGTAAATAAATTCCATCATTATGTTTATTTTTTTTGTTTTTTTTTTTTAGAAACAAGGTCTCACTATGTTGTCCCGGCTGGAATGCAGTGGCTATCCTCAGACACAATCACGGGGAACTACAGCCTGGAACTCCTAGCCTCAAATAATCCTCCTACCCAGCCTTCCAAGTAGCTGGGACTACAGGTGCCACGCCACCCTGCCCAGCTATCATTATCTTGTTTTAAAAATGAGAAAACTCAGGCAAAAAGAAGAACAAAACTAGTATCTCCATGCTTCTGTTCAGAGGACACAGAGAGATTAAGTAACTAGACTGAGATCACCCAGCTAGTAAGTGGTAGCACTGGCATACAAGGCCTCCTGACAACTGACACCACAGTCCAATTGCCTAACTAGGAAGCTACACCACCTCACATTTCAGCTCGCCAAAAATAAAGGCAGCAGTCCAAGAGATTCAGGCGACAGAGAAATTGTGGAGACAAGCAAGTAGAAAAAGGTCACTTCCCCAGCAAGATAGTGGGTATGAAACAGGCATGTCTCTAATATCGAAGTAATTCAACCTGTGTTAAATTCTGTAATGAAGGCTAATCTAGGAATGGCCACTGATCAAGTACATAGAGACCACAGATTTTCTTAGTTAATAATAAGGACCTTCATGTTTAAAATGCCAGATCTAGCTCAGATACCATGCCAGGTGCAGTCATATACATGTGATTCCTGTCCTCTGTGAGCTCATAGTCCAGCTGGGGGGTCATTTATAAACATATAACTCTCTGATAGAGTGTAACTGCTGGCATAGTGACAATGAAGTAGTGTGAGATGACAAAGGGAAAGCAGCGGTGGAGATAGTTGTCAGTTGGATTAAGGCTACAGGGAATCATGACAGAGAAACCATGAAAGCAAAGTCATGGACAACCTAACCATACTTTTCTTAGTTAGTTGTAACAATACATAGCGTGTTTTTTGTTTTTTGTTTTATTGAAATGCTTGCTCCATAAGGGTGATTCATTTTAATGGGTTCTCAAGTTCTGTTCCTCAGGAAAAGTGCTCTTAGGTAAGAACACAGAATTTCTCAATTGTAAGTTTGATTTTCCTTGTATTTTTTTCTTAAACTTGTTGGCATCTACTTTTGCTGCCTATTCAGAAATATCAAACAAATATTTTTTAAAAAAAACATTAAAGGAAGATGTTGGAGCCTATTTTAGTAACTTGGATACTAAACTAACTAACTAGTACAGTTATGCCTAGATTCTTTCCATCAATGAATTAACATAAATCAATTTCCATGTTACTGCCAAACGGCCCAGTTTTCAAGGGCTAGGCTGTGTGAGCAAAAGTGTGCTTTTCCTGTTAAGAATTATTAAATTCACCTGTTTTGATCAGCATTATATTTTATGTTTTACAGGTTGAGCATGTATGGTAGGCCAGCGTACCAGACAATGATTGAACTTGTCCTGCACATCAGTAATATAAGCAAATTCACGTCCTCTGACTTTTTGTGGGACACATGAGAGTATGAGTAACAACAAGAAAATAAATAATTTAAGTTGGAGAATTTATTTTGGGAAGTATGTAAGGGAGGGATTGATCAAGGAGCCCCATGTGGATTGCAGGCGCAGCATATGGCTTGTGGTTTGGACTCTGTGACCAAGACATTTCCCACCAGCTGGTACCAGTGTAGCTCATTACAAGAAAATATCCAGGGGTAGCAGAGACACTTCCAGTGCTGAAAACTCTACAACTCATATTTTGCTAAGACATAGTAAATGTCATTTGGATAGAAATTTTTTATCTGTTTGGGGAGAAGAGAGAGTAAAGAATGAAAAGAAAGAAGCAAAAAGGAAGGTTGGGCCAGGCCCAGTGGCTCACGTCTGTAATCCTAGCACTCTGGGAGGCCGAGGTGGGCAGATCGTTTGAGCTCAGGAGTTCAAGACCAGTCTGAACAAGAGTGAGACCCCGTCTCTACCAAAAATAGAAAAAATTAGCCAGGCATGGTGGCACATGCCTGTAGTCCCAGCTACTCGGGAGGCTGAGGCAGAAGGATCACTTGAGTCCATAAGTTTGGGGTTGCTGCGAGCTAGGCTGATGCCACAGCACTCTAGCTGGGACAACACAGTGAGACTCTGTCTCAAAAAAAAGAAAAAAAGGCCGGGCGCTGTGGCTCACGCCTGTAATCCTAGCTCTTGGGAGGCCGAGGCGGGCGGATTGCTCAAGGTCAGGAGTTCAAAACCAGCCTGAGCAAGAGCGAGACCCCGTCTCTACTATAAATAGAAAGAAATTAATTGGCCAACTAATATATATATGAAAAAATTAGCCGGGCATGGTGGCGCATGCCTGTAGTCCCAGCTACTCGGGAGGCTGAGGCAGGAAGGATCCTTGAGCCCAGGAGTTTGAGGTTGCTGTGAGCTAGGCTGACGCCACGGCACTCACTCTAGCCTGGACAACAAAGTGAGACTCTGTCTCAAAAAAAAAAAAAAAAAAGAAAAAGAAAAAGGAAGGTTGGAAAATTTTTACCACATTTAATAGTAGTCTTCTATATCCTCTTTTAAGATGTGCTACTTCAGAGTTACACACCACATCTGAGCATGGGGACACTTCCTCCCTATTTAAAGGAGTCTGTTTATTCATCCAGTAGTGTTATCTGAGTCCATTCATTGTCACCCTGATAGGTGCTGGGGAAATAAATGCCTCATGCCTGCTATCAATGGAGCCAACAAGTGCAGGAAAGAGAGACAATCAGGCAAAGAAAGTTAATTAGTAAAGGGCTGTAGTGCTGGGTAGAGTGGAAACAATAACAATATAAACAGTAACAGTGGCCATACTTTCCTAGACCAAGTGAAGAGAGCAAAGAGGGTGGGAAGGGGAGGAGAACTGCTTCTGTCGGAAAAGGAGCAGCTCCTGATCAGAGTATGAAACATGAGGGTAGAAGGTTAGGAAGGTTAAAAGGAAAGAGTTTTTTAGAAGTTAAAAAAAAAAAAGCAGGAATTCACAAAGTCACAGAGATCTGAAAGAGTAGGGTCCATTTAGGAATCTGCAAATAATTTGGTGTGTATTCCCTGTGGTAGTTGCTTGGAGACAAGGAGGAGATGAGATTGAATTCTATTGCCGTAGTTTGAACAGATGATGAAAGTCAGAATGGAATGGAGAGGCGATGGCAAGTAGGACTAGATAGTCATGACTGGGACTGAACCAACTTTAGTCACAGATTGTCCACTGAGAGTGAGGCCAAAGGATGCTGTAATTCTCAGGATTCAGCTTAGGGTCCATAAATGGTGATGCCATTTGATGTATGTATGGGGTATGTATCAAATTTCAGAAATTTGTATTATAGACCTTCTGCTGAGCTTCCTTTAAATTAAAGAAAGGGTACTGATGAGGAAAGAATTCATTATATCATTTGGTTTAAGTAAATTCTAACTATTCAAATGATCCCTCATGGTCTTTAGACTAAAATTAGCCATTATATGCTGTTTTATTGTACTGCATTATTATAACACTCCCTTTCATTTGGGACATGGCAATCATTTTGGAAACGGCAGGAAAAATGAATCATAAGCAGCTAAAAATGTAAGTGAGAAGCATCAAGTTATTAGGCAAGGCTTTGAAAAGATAAACCGTTTGTGAAGAAAAATGTAATTAACAGGTTACACTGTATATGTTTGCAAAATGCCTATGATGCATGAAAATGTTTTTGTCTACTTAATTTTCCTAAGATTGTGTGTTTATACTTAATTAAATGCAAACAGCCTTGCGCTCTAAATAATTTCGTAGTAACTGATATGTGTAGCCAAATCAATGGAATGTAGTTAAAAATGGCTAACACAAAAGCTTGTGGTCCAAGAATCCTTTCTCACTGGTGGGGACCTGAAGACAGTTGTCCCCCAGAGTAAGCAAACTGTCCTTAAGGAGAAAGTATCCCGGCTGGACGTGGTAGCTCATGCCTGTAATCCTAGCACTCTGGGAGGCCGAGGCGGGCGAATTGCTCAAGGTCAGGAGTTTGAAACCAGCCTGAGCGAGACCCCATCTCTACTAAAAATAGAAAGAAATTAATTGACCAACTAAAAAAAATATATATATATGCAGAAACTTAGCCGGGCATGGTGGCGCATGCCTGTAGTCCCAGCTACTCGGGAAGCTGAGGCGGAAGGATTGCTTGAGCCCAGGAGTTTGAGGTTGCTGTGAGTTAGGCTGATGCCACGGCACTCACTCTAGCCTGGGCAACAGAGAGAGACTCTGTCTCGGAAAAAAAAAAAAATCCCAAGCAGCCAAAGGGAGAGTTGCAGCTTCTTAAGGCTTCCCGAGAGCATAAGCATTTTGAGAGCAGAGATCTTCATCTATTTTGTTCACTGACATCCCAAATGTTTAGAAAAGACTAAGTCCTCAATAAATATTTGCTTAATTAGTAAATTGTTGAATAAATGAATTAATAAATTGCCTCAGCAGCTTGGCAGCATGATATGAGAGCAAAGATTTGACATCAGAAGTCCTAGATTTTAACCCTCGTTTGTAGTGTGATACAAAGTGATTCAATTAATATTTCAAGACTTAGTTTCCTTATCAGTAAAACATGAGGACAATAGTTATGAAAATGAGGTTACTACAGATGGTTTATGTGGAAGCACGTTACAAACATTAAAGGACTGATGTGCTCATTTACCTTCTTAAAGGCAGAGATTCTGCTTAGGCATCACAAATTAATTTTCAATCCCCAGTACTTGTGCATTGTTTATTTTCCAACCCCCTGATATACAATCAGTCCATAATAAATGTTTATTGAATTGACTGGAATTCACTATGGCTGGTCCGTTTTACATTGGAAAGTGGAGGAGAAAGCAAGGAGGCACAAAGGATAAGAGCTCATTTCCAGAAAGTGTCTGAAGTTGCTTTGTTGGGATTTCTAAGCTCTGGAATTCTCTCTTAGTCTGGAAGCTCTCTTGGCCTCATTTCTAGGAGATCACTTTCGATCATGACAATTCTTCCTCCCACCTCCATATAAAATTACTATGTTATGTAACAGATTGGCCTATACCTTTTGGCTCTTTGTAGTACAGATCTATTCCCAACCAAATGACACTTCACTGGAAAATGTCCAGGTCTACAAATACCATCTACGGATATGTCCATATGTATGTTTCTGTGCTCAGGAAAACTTTCTCAGAGTATACGTGTATTTGAGTAAGTCTCTGTCTCATAGATAGTTTTCAAAATTTTACTTGTAAGAATCTCATTCAAGAATTTCTTCAACAAATATTAATTCCTTATTGTTCTGGCCTCTGTGTTAAGCACTTGTAAAGAAAAATGCCTAATTTTTATGCCATCTCTAGCTACTCCTCTTTTTCTAGAGACAATGAGAACATATGGTAATATGAGCAAAAGATGCCTTGGTGACAATGAAGATTTGGAGGAGGCCTTGGAAAAGTGAGATATGAGGCAGAATGAACATGACTGGAAGATTATTTGGCTATGAAAATTGATGGAGTAGGTACATTCTAAGATGGTGCTCTGGATTTATGGGATCAGTGGGTGGGTAAATGGTTTGACTGTTTGCCAAAAGAGAGACACCCAAAGCATAAGCAGTTTTAGGGCAGAAAATGATTTTTCTAGTTATATGCAGTACTTAGTATGTCTCTGAAGTTCGACAAATAGTACCTCACCAGTATCTTGCACATAGGCTCATAATATATATTAAATGAATAAATCAATAAATCTCTGCTCTACCACTTACTAGCTGTGTGACTTTGGGTAAGTCTCTTAACCTCTCTAAGTCTCATTTTTTCCCAAGTATAGAGACAATGATACCAACTTCAAAAGGTAACTAATTGTTTAAAAAAATAGAATGCAAAGCAGTATGTAAAATGATTGGCACGGGTAGTACCAGGCATATGCTAACCTTGCGATAAACATTGAGTACCTATATTAATACCTGTCTCTCCAGGATTATATCTCTCATACAGGACAAAGGAAAAAAATGACAGATGTGAATAATCATTAATTTTATTAATTGTATTGGCATTTCTTTTACAATTGTTGACCGAGCCTCTCACTAACGCAGAACATGCGGCTTTAGATGATTTGTGGGAACACAGTAACCTGATCCGCTGAGTTCGCAGTTCTGCTTAGGGTCTGGTTTAAATCCCGTCAGCACTCCGCATCTGCCAGCCTAGTCTCTACATACCTTTTCTATGCCTCTCCCACAAGATGGCTAGATCAATGACAGAGGATGAGTGAGAAGGAATCAGGGCAAGAAAAAGTAAGAACCGACCCCCTCCAGACTATTAATTAACTTAAACTTTAATATTGTGTGTTAAGGGCAGACCATACAGTCAACATAATTATATGCACAGTAATGTGGATATGCAAAAACATGTAAATCACACCACTTTAAATGCAAATATATGCATGGTCTTTTTTCTTTTCTATGCCATTTGGATATGACCCTCAGGATAACCTTAGTGAAAACAACTGCCCTAGGTACCATTTTTTAACTGAATCACTGACCTGAGATGTTTTTTAAAAAGGAATTCAGGAATGAAAAAGAAATATGTTTTACGA